TTTTGTAATTAATTAGCTAGGGTAGTTGTTTGATTATTCGGTCTGTATTATTTATTCGGACCCTCCGCGAGAGGGCGAACTTTGTAATAAGTGTGCGTGTGTGCGATGCATGTCTTCCAACCCCACGTCTTTCTCCCTTTTATTTACCAGCTTATGATGGTTAGTTTTAGGGCATGTTTCAATTAGTATCTATATGTTCGCATGTTTGCATTCATCCATCTGTATTGCACGCACCGGGCTCGGCGCATCATGCTAACTGCATTGTATTTCAATTCCAAGTTGAATACATGTATCAATTGTTACATCTCATATGCCATCTTAGAATAGCCGAGCCTGTTTTAGTTGCATTCTTGCATGTGTTGCATTAGGCATCTCAGCATAGTTAGGATTCATGCATGTTTTCTAATTAGCTTCTTTTTTGGCTCGGAGTACTCGGTAAGTGTTATGCTTTAGCATTCTTGCATGCGCGTGAGTGACTGCCATAATAGCATGCTTACCATGAGGCTATGTGCTTATGTTATATAACTGCCTGAATGCTTGTGGGTGAAGGTTGGGTTGCTTGGATTGGAATAATTCGTCGAAACCCGTGTTTTAGTCTACTTGCGACTAGTAAACTTCAATCCATTTTCAAAACAAACGGATATGCAATGCTTTGTTCCAACTTAGGCAATCTAGTCTATACTTGTATGCTGTGCGCATCATATAGCAATTCTAGGTTAATAATCGGAATAAGAACGCATGTGTTTTAAAAAACTCGATATCATGTTTAGTAGTGGCCGATCTTTGATCGGGCGAGCGGGGGTGCTCATTGCATGACCTTTCCCAATCGTATTTAAGTTCCCGAGCCGAGGCAACTTTGGTGATGACGGACACGTGGCCTTAGGCACGAGTCAGGGTTTCCTAAATTCCCCAAAAATAAAATATTTAGGTGGCGATTCTATATCTGGAAAAGTAGTCCATGTTTGGCACTTCTTTCTAAAAATCAGTTTTTCAAAACGATTTGCCGGATTTGGACTCTTTGGTGATTTATCAATCTCGTATTGCACTTTGTGAGATCAGATTAAGAACCGTGACATTGAGTTCGAACTGTAGTAAGCCCAATGAACAAAACGGGGATTTCTCCCGGGACGTTCGGGGACATCTGCAAAGATGAAAACAACTGATAATTTATCACTCAATGAGGTAAAATAAGTAAATTTTATCACTCGATTAAGCAAAGTAAGCAAATCCATTATTATAATAAATTTTATCACTCGATTAGGCAAATTAAGCAAATCTATCATTGTTATAACAAATTTTATTACTAAATTAGACAAAGTAAGGAAATTCGTCATTGTATAGCAAATTTGTCACTCAATTAGGCAAAGTAAACAAATCTGTCATTGTATAGCAAATTTTATCACTGAATTAGCAAAAGTAAGCAAATGCATCATTTTAGAGCAAATGAACATAAAGATATGATTATTATGAAGTTGAATATCACTCATAAATTAATACTGTATGATACAGATTGAAAATAGTTTCAAGTCGAATTTTATCACTCAATTATAGTTATGAAAGAAGAAGGGAAGCAAATCCATCATTATAACAAATTTTATTACTCAATTAGGAAAATTAAGCAAATCTATCATTCTTATAGCAAATTTTCTCACTGATTTGGGCAAAGTAAGCAAATCTGACATTGTATAGTAAATTTTATCACTGGATTAGCAAAAGTAAGCAAATCCATCATTGTATAGGAAATGAACATGAAGATGTGATTATTATGAAGTTGGATATCGCTCATAAATTAATATTATATGGTACAGATTGAAAATAGCTTCAAGTCGAATTGTATCACTCAATTATAGTTATGAGAGAAGAAGGGAGGCAAATCTATCATTATAACAAATTTTATCACTCAATTAGGAAAATTAAGCAAATCTATTATTCTTATAGCAAATTGTATCACTGAATTGGGAAAAGTAAACAAATTTGTCATTGTATATCAAATTTTATCACTGAATTAGCAAAAGTAAGCAAATCCATTATTGTATAGCAAATGAACATGAAGATGTGATTATTATGAAGTTAAATATCACTCATAAATTAATACTGTATAATACACATTGAAAATAGCTTCAAGTTGAATTTTATTACTCAATTATAGTTATGAAAGAAGAAGGGAAACAAATCCATAGTTATGAAATAAGAAGAGAAGCAAATCCATCATTATAACAAATTTTATCACTCAATTAGGAAAATTAAGCAAACCTACCATTCTTATAGAAAAGTTTCTCACTGAATTGGGCAAAGTAAGCAAATCTGTTATTGTATATCAAATTTTATCACCGAATTAGTAAAAGTAAGCAAATCCATCATTGTATAGCAAATGAACATGAAGATGTGATTATTATGAAGTTGAATATTAATCATAATTTAATATTGTATGATACATATTGAAAATAGCTTCAAGTTGAATTTTATAACTCAATTATAGTTATGAAAGAAGCAGGGAAGCAAATCCATTATTATAACAAATTTTATCACTCAATTACAAAAATTAAGCAAATCTATCATTCTTATAGCAAATTTTCTCACTGAATTGGGCAAAATAAGCAAATCTGTTATTGTATAGCAAATGAACATGAAGATGTGATTATTATGAAGTTGATTATCACTTAATTATAGTTATAAAAGAAGAACGGAAGATGAATACGACTTACGTTTGATTCGCATGTTTGTTGAAGATGAACTAAATAGGGAATATAGATCGAAACAGTGGAAGATTTGCTGGGGATCTGTTCGGAATCAAAATATGGATCGAAATAGAGGTGATTTCTTTGGAAAGGATGAGAGATTCAGGGAAAATCTCTTCGTTTGTTTCGATTTCCAAATTGCAAATCACCTCAGAATGGTTTCTAAATCGCCTCAGAATAGTTTCTAAATCAGAACAATTGAGAAGGAGTGTGTGTGTCACGTGCACAGGGGAGAGCTCGTGATATCTTCTTTGCTTCACGTGTGTAGTATGACATTGAGGGGTAAAATTGGAAACTGAAATAAGACAGGACTTGGTGGGTATTAATTTATTTCCATGGGATCGGCTGGTAAGTCCCCCAAAATTAAACTAGCCTAAATAAGCTACTCTACTCGAGCCAATATACTAAAATCTTAATTCCAGACCTTGAAAAAAATAGGGCTGAACTGAATGACTGGGCTGCGCTGGGCTGGGCCTTTCCCACTCCTCTCTGCTTTTACTATACCTTCCTTCGTTTTGGGTGGAAGGCCCATAAGTAGATTGGTCCATAGGCCAATAAACTTGAAAAAATAGGACTGAAGTGAGTGGGCTGGGCTAGACCGTGCTCACTTCTATATGTTTTTTACTTTGTAAGTTTCACGGGAGATTCTATTTACACAAAAAAAATGTTTGACTGTGCATAGTTTTTCAGTACATCATATTAAATTATTGAGAGTTATAATTTATTCTTAGTACATTCTATTTTTTTTTTTTCCTTTTCAAATTACCCTTTTGAGGTACACCCAAATAAAACAAATTAAAAAATTCAAATTATGTTTTGAAAAATCTTTCTTTTGTTCATGTACATACATGGAATATGATCAAGAAACCCGGCACTGGCGAAGGAGGACGACGAAGGAGAAGAAGAACGGGGAAGGAGGATGATGAATATTCAACCTATTTTTCGTCATTATTGTTCGGACTTTCTGAACCAAACGAATTCACTTATTCACTTTGTTCGGCTGTACAATGCCGAACAAAGTGAATTTGTTTAGTTCTGAAAGTCTGAAAAATAATAATGAAAAACAAGTTGAATATTCACTTTTATGTAAAAAAAAATACAGAAATCAATAATTGTAATTTGAAATTGTTTGCTTTTATGTGAATATTTACCTCATCTTTGATGGGTTGTTTCAAAAAATTATTTTGATTATTATTCTTATCTATTATTTGATTTTGTTCAAACTTTCTTCTATTTGCAAGTAACAATATAATAAAAAACAATGAATTTGATGATAATTGTGAGTTTTGGTGGAGCAATTAAGGTTTTGAACTGAGAAAGAAGAAAAAGAGAAAATAATTGAAATTTAAAGAAAAAGATGAAGATATTTGAATAATAAAAATATGTATAATTGATTAGGGTGTATCATGAGAAAAAAAAATTATTTTTAATACTTAATATGTGTTGTCATTATTAATAAATTTATATTAAAATATAATAAAAATTAAAATTTTAAATTTTGAATTCAACGTACTCACATAATTTTTTAGTTCAAACAAAATGACCCATTTTTCTTCTTTTTTTCGTTTTGGCTGGGGGGAGCCAAGCAGAGGCTGCCATTTGTCTTGTAATTTTTTGAGGTTGGTTAAAATTACATATTAAAGGGTTTAAAACTCCAAATAACACTACTAGATAAATGAAAGTGTGCCTTGCAACAATTTATGTCTCCAAGATTTTTATTTTATTTTATTTATTTTTTAAGTGCTGCTATATCATCCAAATATTTTACTAATATTATAAAAAAAAAAATTATATGTGGATTTTCATATGACATGATGGGTTTCATAATTTTTAATTTTTATTTTTTTTATATATAAAAATATGATGGGTCTCATGAAAGTGTGCCTTGCAACATTTTTATTTTATTTTATTTATTTTTTAAGTGCTGCTATATCATCCAAATATTTTACTAATATTATAAAAAAAAAAATTATATGTGGATTTTCATATGACATGATGGGTTTCATAATTTTTAATTTTTATTTTTTTTATATATAAAAATATGATGGGTCTCATGAAAGTGTGCCTTGCAACATTTTTATTTTATTTTATTTATTTTTTAAGTGCTGCTATATCATCCAAATATTTTACTAATATTATAAAAAAAAAAAAAATTATGTGAATTTTCATATGACATGATGGGTTTCATAATTTTTAATTTTTATTTTTTTTTATATTTAAAAATATGAACTACGTTCTGCTTTCCCCTATGTTTTGTATTTTTTATTGGTGTTTTTGCGAACTGGAACTCCATTTAGCTTTGTATTTTAATGCTCTTTCGAGATAGCTGGACAATCTGGTATGTAGATAGCTGCTTCCATGCTTATTTGTCTTCCAAGATGTACCAACATGTGGTTTCGATGTTCTTGTTTCTCTTTACTCTAATTTATGTGTAAATTGTGCACACCATATGTTTGCTAATATGCCTATGAAAATAGAAATAGAAAATTCGCAGTTTTTTTTCCTTTACTTCAAAATATATATTAAAGTAATCTGATTGCAAAAATACCCCCAGTTGGATCGTGAGATGTAGTTCTAATGACCATTGGAAATTATGCTCCCTTGAAGTTATGTTTTGACATTATTTTCTGGTGATGCTTAATTTGCATTTGTTTTGTTTTCTATTCAATTTGTGTTTTCCATTTGACATGTTATTTTCTTGTTGTAAACATTCTAATAGTTCGTTTCCAATTATTATTATTTTTTTTCCTCATTTTATTTGGCAGGCTTTGGCCAAAACATTGACAGTGGATGAGCTAAGTTATTTGAAGGAGCAGTTTGTGCTATTGGAACCAAACAAAAGTGGCACCCTAAGCTTGGACAATGTTAAAGCGGTTAGTTTCTTTTTTGTTTTTTTGGAAAGAGTACTAAAAAAAAAGAAGGAATATTAAAGTGGTTGGTTGAAGCAAAACTGTTTATTTACTGTAATTAATGTATTTGTTGCTCCGAAATATTTTTTATTTGGTCAGGCCTTGATGAAAAGTGCAACAGATGCTATGAAGGAGTCTCACATCCTTGAATTTCTTACATCAGTATGTGCTTTGATTGTGATGGTGGATGTGCAATCAACAATTGTTTCCCCTATGGTGTTCTAATTTTTGGAGTGAAATTGTTTTCTCTTCTTTTGTGACAGCATGAAACGGTTTGATTTCTATAGCATGTCTTCTTTGCTCTTCAATGATTGAAGTGGGTTTTCAAAAGGTCTCTACCTAGCTGCGGTGAAAAAATGCATATTCCAAAAAATAGAGAACGAGGTGTCAGGTTAGCGTTTCCTGTCATACTTATTGGTTCTATTTGATTGACAACAGTTACTTTTGAGTCTGTTAGTTGGTGTTTACTAATGCAACATTTATGTGGTCTATTTTGGTTAAGCAATTTGCAAGATCTTGTTACTGTTAGCTTTCTTTTGTTCAATTGTTTTGATCCTGATCAATCAAGACTGATGTTAATTATTAATAATTGTGAGATGGTGAATTAATTCAGTATTTGTGATCTATCATTTATGAACCCTTTGATGATAAACAAAGGCCTTTTTTGTTCTTCTTTTAACTTGTCCAATGCTAATGTTTTTACATTGTTTTGCCCTGCTTTCGATTTCTAAAGCTTCAAGTGCCCTAAAAAAATTGACCCTTTTTTCTTGATGATACTGCAATTTACATTGGATATTAATGTGATGGTTCCATTTTTCTGAAAAACTCTTCTCTAATTTGATATGAATCTTTACTGCATTTTGTGCGTGTGAGTGTCTTCAAATTTTCAACTTGAGAAAATGGTGAATGCTACAACAAATGAATCCATGGATAAGAGATGTATTGATTTCACATTGCATGGGCCTTTTAGCTGGCTGTAGTACAGAAAGTGAGCCAAATTGGATTGCCATATACTTATGCTGCCATAGAGAGCATTAATTAAAACTTCCTGTGAAAATAACTTCAAGTTTTCTCTTTTTTGGGGTTTTTGTCTATATTTTTTCTAGAGAACATTTGAGAGATATATATAAAAAAAAAGGAAAAATTGCAAAAAAAATAAAATAAAATGGTATGAACTCAAAAAAATTACGAAGTCATGAAAATACAAGTAATTTATGGGAAAAATAGAATGAGAAAAATAGTACAATTAAGGTTAGTGAGGGGGTTAATAATTGATGGGATTAGTGTATTAGTTATTCAGTTGGATTAACCTAATGATTTGGTATGTGATTTTTTGGAAATATAATTATCACCTATTCTCCCTTGTGAAGTTACTTTTCAAATTCATAAACCAAATACATTTTTTAAAGTATTTATATTGACAATGTAACGCGACCCCCACAACTAGTATTTAAAAAAAAAAATTATATGTGGATTTTCATATGACATGATGGGTTTCATAATTTTTATTTTTTATTTTTTTTATATATAAAAATATGATGGGTCTCATGTAAAACATAATATGTTAAATTTATTTATTTATTTTTGTAAAACTTAAGCTATTAAACTTTTACATAATGAACCTATAAAAAAATGTCCCATAAAACCATTAATCCACTTTAAATTTATTTATTTATTTTTGTAAAACTTAATCAATTAAACTTTTACATTATGAACCTATATGAAAGAAATAAGAGAGTGATATTGAGAGAGTAAGAAAACTCTTGTATTCAATATATCTGAAAGTGTAAGAAGAGACTCCATATATAAGAGCTGCTTATACAACATCATTATGAAAGCAAAACATATAATAATAGCAAGCAGCCGAAAGCGAAGACAACCGAATAAGAATCCTATGCTCCTATGCTCTGTCATCCTATAGCTATTAATATATGGTACATTAATATATATAATATATACATTATTATGATACATTAATATGATACATTAACACTATAAAAAAATGTCCCATAAAACCATTAGTTCACTGAACTTGTGACTTCTCATTTCATTCTACGATATAGGTACTTGATTGTAGAGATCGATGACATTGAATCTTTTGAATAATATGACAACCCTGACCATTCACTTTTAATATGGTAGAAAAATTTTAATTTTTTTATTAATTAATTACTTTGTGACATGATATAAAACAATAATCCCTCAAGTACTCGATAAATGTAAGGGTTGGACCACGGTCCACCAGAAACCATGTTTTAATGTTTCAACTCGGTGCTTCATATAAAAAAGTATAAATAAATTTCAATTCAGGCCCACGGTCCACTGCAGGTCCCATTTGATGACCAATACTGAACATATATACATTTTTGTGGGATTAGCTGTCCATTAGATGTCTAATTGCAATAGAAAAAATTTACAATTAAACGTTGGAATATGAGTCCAAAAGATTTGTATTCCCAATCTAATACTTTAATCTGGCTAATCACACTAGTCCATAAAGGATAACAAGCAAACATATAGACGTGGGCAAAGATTAGTAGCTCGAGGTTGGTTTGTCAAAAATTTGAGATACTTGAGTTTGATTTGGGTCAACTGGATCAAACAAACTAGCTGAGCTCAATTTTTTTTTTTTTTAATTTTTAAAATCAAATTAATTTGCATATTATGTGAAAAAGAGAACATTATGAGCAAAATGTAATTAAAAATAAATTTCATTCATTAATTATGTAAATTTAATATAAAATAGAGAAATGAAATATATTTGATATATTGTTAAAAATAAATATTAATTTATATATTTTTTGTTAATGAGCCTAATTGAGCAGAGCTTGGGTTTACATGAACTCAGCTCAGTTATTAACTGAGTATACAAATTTATCTCGAACTGAAATGAATTTTAAATAAGTTGATTATCAAGGTCTTTTCACAATTCTTGAATTGAAGGCTTGTTTTTATCTATATTTGTAGTTTAAGTAAAAGTCAAAATTTGCAATAACAAAAAGAGTAAAGTTCAAAGTTGAAAGTGCAGAAAATAGAAAGAATGTTGTGACAATTTATAGTGATTTTTTGGCTTTAGAGTAACCATGACAATGGTATATCTATGAGTAGAGTTCTCAAAAATTTGTGATACTAGTTTTCTACAAATTAAAAATAAGTAAATGAATTAATAATAAAAAAAAAAGACAAAAAGAAAAAAGAAAAAAGAAAAAGGGGCAGATGGTGCAGGTTACTCACATTATTCTTATTAGAAGACAGAGTTAGTAATAGAAGCTTTACATGGGAAAATCAATAATGAATAAATTGGCACATGGTTATAATGGTATTGTTAGTTAATCAAATCACAAATGTTACAAATAATAGATAAGTTCGAATTCAACAATTTAATGATTTTTCAAGTAATACAAAACTTTATAATTACCTGATATTTTTAGCAGTTTCTTGAGCTTTTCTGTCCAATTTTACGTTACAAACATCGACTTTTCCTTATATTTTTTTCCCTTTTATGTCTTCCTCTTTTGAAATGGTGAATTGTATTTTGCTTTTACAGCTCAAATTTATTTTGACATATTTTAATTTTCCAAGTAATTTTGTATATAATCCAAATGTTCAATTATATATTTAATTATCAATGGTAGCAATAGCTGTTGATCTTGAAACTTAAGTTTTCCCTTTACTAAATTTGTATACATAAATAAATTATTTTATAGAATTTATGTATGCATTATAAGTTGGTAGAGTACCAACCACTATTTTTTTTTAGGAATAAACCAATAACAATTGTCAAATATCAAACAATTAGTTGACTTCAAGCTGAATACTAGTAAATTTCTTTTGAATAGATGAAAAAATAACATTTTCCCATGAAGATTTTTAATTTTTTTTGGGGAGTTAGATCATAGTAATTTACAACTAAACAATTGACTTTGACATGAAAAGTCAAACAGCTTCTTATTTTTTTATTAGCAAAAACCAAAGAGAATTACATCAATAAAGAAAATGATGAGTGCAAAAACAAACCAATCCCAACTAAGTTGGCACCGATAAATCCACCTTCTCATTTGTTAGCACACCATCAATAGTTGGTAAGTAACCAACCGCAAAAAAACCAAAAAAACCAAAATAGAGGACACAAAGCCAAGCACACACAAGAACTCCAATGCTAACATAAGACATACAACACAAACCACCACAGCAACCCACATAGACTAGCTTCTTATAATGCCAACTAGGAAAAAAATTTATTTTATAAATCTCATGCATTAAGAGCATAAGATTTTATAACTCTCAAATCAACACATTAATAAACTAGTAATCAAAACCTCAAAACACAATTATATTGGCCAGCTTTATGAGTAAATTCCTAGTTACTTTAAATTGCTCATGTTTCATCTAAACATCTCCATAGTAAATGTGAATTCTTTTTTTTCTCTCTAATGGGAAGAGAAGAGTTCGTCAATAGTTTTAGCCATGGCAAAGAAACCAAGCATGGGTTGCCAAAAGATCAAAATTGTGAAAATAGAGATCAAAAATCACTTGCAAGTCACCTTCTCAAAACGTCAATCTGGGCTTTTCAAGAAGGCAAGCGAACTTTGCACGCTTTGTGGCATAGAGATTGCTATCATAGTTTTCTCTCCGGCTGGCAAAGTGTTTTCTTTTGGCCACCCTAACGTGGATTCTATCATTGATCAATTCTTGATTCGAAACCCTCCACCTAACACCACCACACGCAACCTTATTGAGCCTCATCGTAAAGCTAGCGTGCGCAAACTCAACTTACAACTTACTTAAGTTCTCAATGAATTGGATGTGGATTCTATTGTTGATCAATTCCTAACTCGAAACCCTCCACCTAACACCACCAGACGCAACCTTATTGAGCCTCATCGTAAAGCTAGCGTGCGCAAACTCAACTTACAACTTACTTAAGTTCTCAATGAATTGGATGTGGATTCTATTGTTGATCAATTCCTAACTCGAAACCCTCCACCTAACACCACCAGACGCAACCTTATTGAGCCTCATCGTAAAGCTAGCGTGCGCAAACTCAACTTACAACTTACTTAAGTTCTCAATGAATTGGATGTGGATTCTATTGTTGATCAATTCCTAACTCGAAACCCTCCACCTAACACCACCAGACGCAACCTTATTGAGCCTCATCGTAAAGCTAGCGTGCGCAAACTCAACTTACAACTTACTTAAGTTCTCAATGAATTGGATGTGGATTCTATTGTTGATCAATTCCTAACTCGAAACCCTCCACCTAACACCACCAGACGCAACCTTATTGAGCCTCATCGTAAAGCTAGCGTGCGCAAACTCAACTTACAACTTACTTAAGTTCTCAATGAATTGGATGTGGATTCTATTGTTGATCAATTCCTAACTCGAAACCCTCCACCTAACACCACCAGACGCAACCTTATTGAGCCTCATCGTAAAGCTAGCGTGCGCAAACTCAACTTACAACTTACTTAAGTTCTCAATGAATTGGATGTGGATTCTATTGTTGATCAATTCCTAACTCGAAACCCTCCACCTAACACCACCAGACGCAACCTTATTGAGCCTCATCGTAAAGCTAGCGTGCGCAAACTCAACTTACAACTTACTTAAGTTCTCAATGAATTGGATGTGGATTCTATTGTTGATCAATTCCTAACTCGAAACCCTCCACCTAACACCACCAGACGCAACCTTATTGAGCCTCATCGTAAAGCTAGCGTGCGCAAACTCAACTTACAACTTACTTAAGTTCAGACAACCAGGTGTGTGGAATTCCCTACTACGTTCTGCTTTCCCCTATGTTTTGTATTTTTTATTGGTGTTTTTGCGAACTGGAACTCCATTTAGCTTTGTATTTTAATGCTCTTTCGAGATAGCTGGACAATCTGGTATGTAGATAGCTGCTTCCATGCTTATTTGTCTTCCAAGATGTACCAACATGTGGTTTCGATGTTCTTGTTTCTCTTTACTCTAATTTATGTGTAAATTGTGCACACCATATGTTTGCTAATATGCCTATGAAAATAGAAATAGAAAATTCGCAGTTTTTTTTCCTTTACTTCAAAATATATATTAAAGTAATCTGATTGCAAAAATACCCCCAGTTGGATCGTGAGATGTAGTTCTAATGA